GTCTTTCCTCACCGCGGAACCAATCAGATTGCAGGATCCGTGCATTCTGTGAAGCCGGACAGACCATTGGCTCCGCCAGCGCAGTCCACAGGCACTGCCACACAACATTTTCATCCAACCTTTTGTTTTAACACCTTGTCAACATGTGTAAATACATGTTCGCCTATTGGAACGTCCGTGGGGTAAAGTGTTTATTTTCTTTTATACTTTTTCACGCAACCAACTTTGGCAGTGGATGTTTACCTGTCTCTCCACTGAAATGGTCTTGTTTTTAATTAATTATTTATTTATTACTTAAGACGATTCATAGCTCCCCTCCCTCCGCGGTGAACCTTTTGTTGAAGGTTTTTCAGACGGTAGCTTTGCTGTTAGCCTGGTAGACCAGAAAAGCAGGCAATGCACCAAAATTGCAGGGCCAGCTGTCGGGTCGGGAGGGAGGATTAACACTAAGGCTAGGCATCCACCGGATCCATACAAGCCTGCCTTTATTAACTGAACAAATAATTTAAATTTGTAACTAAGGGAATGTCTGCAACCTCATGAGTACTAACTGGGTTTTCATTTTTAATCTGCTAGCTTGGACAACCTATTCGTCTGATGCTGGAATTCATCGGCCAGCCATACAAGGAGAGACGTTTTCAAGCCTCAGAAGTGGAACAGTGGTTTGCTAATAAGAAAAAATTGGGTTTCGACTTTCCAAACGTACGTTGTCTGTTGTGTCATGCCTTCACCATCTCACCTGTTCCTCTAGTTGCCCTACTTGATTGATGGTGATAAAGTGATTACCCAATCTCACGTAATCACCATGTATTTGGGCAAAAAACACGGATTAGGTAGGTGCAATCTCACTCACTCACTGTGCGCTTTTGAGAGCCGGTGCTAATGACGACGATGTCATAAAGATTGCCATTGCTGAAGGCGGCATAAAGGACTTGCGTCAGGGCATCTCTAAAATCGCTCTTGCCTCCGACTACGTAGTGTTGCAATGTGTTTTAAATGAAGACTTTTAGGAAAATCTAAGACCCGGTTTCATGCCCACGTTCTTCGAGGGACTTGAGACCATCTCCAAGTATATGGGAAGCAAAAATTTCCTTATTGGTGATAAGGTAAGCAAGGAATGCGACTTGAAATCGCTCAAGTCCTGCACGGTCGGTGTTAAAGGTCTGTTGTTGACCCACCTATCACCTCTATGAGCGTTGTCAAAGTCACACACTAATAGTACTGACGATGTATTGTTCCACCCACCTCACAAAAAACTTAGTGAATACACAGAAAACACGAATTGGTGTTGCGGCTAAACCATCTCAAAACAGGCGTATTCGCCTTGTCAGATAGCCAAACTGACAAGCGGTTGACCATGATTACCCTCACACTGTCTGCTGCAAGGCCAACTTGGTCACAAGGTGAGTTTGAGGATTTACGATGGTCCAGTCTTCTCACACACTCGGTAATTGACTGTGGGTGGGAGCCACTGTTGTAGGTCCCTAACATTCCCGCACCATCCGATGGAACTACCTCAGAGCCACTGCTAGTCCAATGCCCGTCCATTGGTGTATTTCAGGCACGCTGTTATGGTCAGCTTCTTTACACTGAAATGTGCCATTCCATGCTGCCACAAGTCATCACTGACGCCTGAATTTCCGTATTTTTGGATTCTTTATTCTACTGGACATCAACATCACCTAGCAGACGGTGCCTAATGTCCCAGCTATGTATTTCTAGCGTTAAAAGAGAGTGTCCATTATGCCATAAGTGCGGGTAACACGAGAGCATGCACCGTGTATCTGAGGCTATTACAGCCAAACCACGGACAGAATTATTAAAAATATCCTTTTTGCTTTTTAAGCTCTGCTATGCCGACTTCGTTTTGTATGAGAATTTGGATGTATTCGAGATTTTTGAACCGAAATGCTTAGAAAATTATCCCAATCTAAAACGCTTCAAGAAGGAATTTGAGGTGAGCGGATGATGAGAAGGCTGTAATGAATGAAATGGTATTTTTATTACCCATTAGATGT